GGGAGCGGGTGGTGGGGGTGGGGGTGGGTGCACGTGGGCGCGCGTGCGCATCTGTCCGTGCACTGAATGCCTCCCGCCTCGTTCTTGCTCTACAGGCATGCTGCTTCTTTGCGCCTTCGGACTTCCGCCGTTGAGACTGGTCATGACTGATCCGATTGGATTCTGATGGCCTACTCGTGCGCTCGTGCATGATGCATCGGGCAATCTCTGATGAGACCCCTCACACTGCATAAACACAATGTCAGCAAGCTGGCTCAGGAATCACTACATCGACGATCCGCTCCTGGAAAGCATCCCATGAATCATTTGGAATGTTTGCTTTTGCGGTTGCGACTTTCTAGCGAGGTCTGTTTCGGTATGGTTCAATATCTTCGCAGGCACTGGGGCATCTGGGGCGTACTTACTTGACCATGTTGTGTACTTATTTGGCTTGCCTCGTTGCACCGCCGTGGACTGGCCAAATGCAGGTAGGAAGGCATGCACTGCTTCCTGTTGAATCATGATGCCATATGTATCTTTGGGCATGGCATTTGCCTTGCTCCAGCAGATTTCATATCCGTTTCCCAACTTGAACTTAGGTGTTTCGGGTTGCATGCTATGCGAGAGACAAAGATCCTGAAGCCAGCTTTCTAGCATTTGCTTGTAAGTGTAGTGTTTCAGCACAACTTGTTGGATCTGAGATTCCCTGCAAACGTACCAAGCGCTTATGCCTGGACCGAGTATACCGAGTTTTCAGAGGTCGACGAGTTCCAGGGGTGGAATCGTTTGACAATCCAGGCCAACCTCCAAGAGCACGCCCATACCTAGCGGGACCTCCACTCACTGGCGATGTGACAGTTATTGCAGGGCTGCAGTGGCTTGCATTGTCGTCTTGTAGCAGGCCACAGCTTCCCGAGGCTGCGAGCCGTCCTCACCGCCGCCCGCTTTTGTGACTCTTTGGCTGAGGCAGGCTTCGGGCTTTCTTGCCCAGTGTGAGGAGTTCTTGAGGAATCACATTGCCAATCTGGCAGCCGTAAGTGCGATGTGAAGGGCTTTCAGCTTCAACCTCGGGCTGAAACCCTTGCCAGACTCGACGCCTGCGTCACGTGGATTGTCGCGATCCGATGTTATCTGCTATGCGAGCCAGCCATGCAAAACGTTAGACCCAAGCTGCAGGAAGGACTGCAGGGTCGGGCAGGAGTCGCCACGGGCATCGTATGGTGTGGCTGCCTGGCATGATGCACAGGAAGCATTGGCTTCGGGAGTTTTGCCTCTCTTTCACAGGGATCGTGTTTTTCAAGCCACAGTCTGATTGTGCGGCTGTAAACGTTCGTCGGCCATCGAAGTTCGACGTAATGGGCCGAGGTCCAGCCAGAATGCAACATAATGCAATCCTCTTCTCGGTTGCCCATTTTGACTGCCCCCTCAACTCCGACGGGTCACAACGAAGCACAAAGCGATGCCAAGGCACTGTTGGCAGCCAGATCCGCCGGGAGTATACAGTATTGGGCGACACTGTCAACCTGCCCCTCAGACTGAAGCCAATCAGATTTCGTTTGATGCGGTTCAAGGTGTTGACAATGGACATCAATGGGCAGATGTCCCGGCAGGTTTCTGTCTTAGAGCGTCACGATGTAGTGTCAGCTTGTCTTGAAAGACAAGCCTGGACCCGGGTTCACTTACCAACAGGGCTTCGAAACCTCGAAATCAAGCGCTGCTCGCAGGACTGCGTGGCATTCTAGATTCTGCTTGAAGGTGTCCTCGATGTCGTCGTTTCTCTTAAGCGTCGGGTAGCCGATCACTTCTATGTGTTGTTATGAGGTCTGCTCGCTTGATGGCGAAGACGGATATCAACACTGTCCTCGTTGATGCTGCGACCTGTTTGCATCCATTTGCTTAGTGACACTGGGCGAATCCCATCCGCGGATCAGCCGGCAGTCTAACAGAACCCGACTGCTGTGTGCAACTATGGAATTCTGGACACATCCGAAATCCGGCGATTGCAGGCATGGTGCCATGAATTAAACAGGTCGACCAGCGGTCTGAAGGTCGGAGGCCCTGCATCGTCGTTTGTCGGTAGGCATTTTCCAAAGATGCTGGAAGCCAGGCAACCTTCAGCTCCTGCAAGCAGCTTGCCTTCGTTGTTTCACATCTTTGCAGAGAAGGAGCTAGCAGCCGTGGCCAGCCAGAGCAAGCAGCGCATCTTCGTGAAACCCGACTGGGCTAGAAGTTCAGCTCGAAGATATCCAAGGCGGACGCTGGCCTTCGAGTCGCTGGGAGAAATCTCAGTGAAAGGCCCGATGAGAGCGGTTCTGAAAGACTTGGATGCTTCTGGCACAAACAAGCCATTTGCTTTTAAATATTCCTTGGCAAAGCAACAGTCCACACCTGACGTTGCACATGTATGACACAGGCAAGCAGGAACAGATCCAGGTGTACCGCTTCACAGGAGCCGATGTGGTCTGCACTCTATGAGTCGCTGCATGTGCTGCTCAGTGCTCAGCTCAAACCGACAATATGACACCGGGTCCGTGTGCTTGGTCTTGTGTCAATTCGAAGTGAAGCGTCTGCTTCTCTTCCCGAGCATGCGTGCATGTTTGAGCGTGCAAGATCCATTGGTTTCAGTCTTCCTTCCCTCACTCAAACTCTGGCCGGGAAAGGAGATCTTCTACCTCGCAGAGACCGTGATCGCAAAGGCCTTTCCTTGGGCCATTCGTGGCTCATCCATGCCGTTAGCATGGAGCACTGATATGCAGTGTAGCACATCTAATGTTTGAAAGGACAAGCAAGGCGCATTCGACACACACACGCCACAGCTGTTGCTGGCTTTGCGTCGCCCGATGTTTCTGTGCTTCGCAGATTCTCTCCTTTGTCGATCCCTTCGAAGTGGTAGCCGCGGTCGACGTTCTCCGCGCTGCGGTTGCAGCCGGCGAGGACACGGCGTCGTTCTTCGGCGGGTGGTCTGGCTTGGAGCGCTTTGCGCTCGTGAGGGCGATTAACTCGTCGCCCGGCGCTGTGGCTACGGCTGCGGCGGCAGAGACCAAAAGGAGAGAACATGAGAGGACTACGACGCTGAAGGCGCCTACGGCGACCTCGTCTGGTGGTGGCGCAGGGCCGGCGGACCCTTACCCGGAGCCCCCGGCAGAAATGCATCAAGCGCCTCCTTCGGCGCACCCGGGTGGGCTCCTGGCGGCGATGCCTCCGCAAGCATCAGCAGAAGCCGGCGACACCAGCGTTGGTGTTCGACCGGCTAAAGCTAAGCCGACGAGGTCGGCAGAACCACTCGGCGCTGCCGGCCGTGGCAGTGGCCAGTGAAACCTAGCGGCGCCGGAGGGAGTCACGATGGTTCCACATGGCGATGTGCTTCGGCGCTGCGGGGTCAGTGCGGACTTTCAACCGCACGCCCGACGCACTCCAGGCCCTCGAAAGAGTGACGATTTTAACGGGGTCGACATCGACGAGCTGGCGGATGGCGCCTTCGAGGGCATGGCGGGTTTCCTCGACTTACTGGGCCTACAGACGAAACCGTCGAAAGCACAGAACACATCAGCCAAGGGGTAACATGTTGTGTCGATCCGTCGCGACGGGGTGTGGTGCTGGACTGCCCGCTCCGGGAAGATCCGGGCCACCATCAGTGATGTCCTGGAGCTGCGGACGAAGGTCAGTAGAGCAGATCCAGGAAGGTGAAAAGGCAAGAAGTTACGGCGTGCCGAGAAATTGGGAGCACGGAGCAAAGAACCTTGAGCTATTCAAAGAACTTGTCAAGTGTGCTGAAGCAATGACTGCTCAGCAAGGAAATTTCGATGCTTTACTGACTGGCATTGGCCAGGCTACCGGAGCTATGGCAAGAGTTGCTACCCAGACAGCAGCTCAGTAGCAGCAGCTTACTGAAGCACTGCAAAGGTTGACAGCAAGCCAAGAAGCGCAGGCCCATGGAGCGCAAGAGTATGGACCTGCAAGGGCTCCACAGCCACCCCTGAAAGTTCCTTTTGATACTGGAGGAAAGATCTTGAAGCCACCAGAAGCCTTTAGCCCAACCACGATTGAAGAAGAAGTGTCGCAATGGCGTTACTGGTCATTTGCGTTCAAGAACTTTCTGGCATTCATGGACCATGAGTTCCTAGCCGATCTACGGAAAGCTGAAGGATGAACAGATCCTCTTGATGAAAGAACTGCTGAAGGAGCATTCTTTGCAGGACGTGAAGACCGAATGAACGGTTTCGAAGTTTGGAGAAAGCTGTCAGCTGTTTTTAAACTTTCTCAAGGTCTCGAAGTCTTGCAATGGCACCAGCATTGGTTGGATTTCCAGCGATGAGCAAGGGAGCATCGTTGATGGATTACGTGCTTATGTATGAGAAACTGGTGAATGAGTGTGAGAAACTTTCAAGCACGAAGTATGATGACAATCTCAAGATTGGAACGTTGTTGAAGGGTATCCCTCAAAACCTGAAGCAACCCATCATGGTGGATATCAAAGACAGAACGACATACGCCGATCTGAGAATGACAATGAAGCTGTCACAGTATGGAAGGAGCAATCAGACATGGTCAGCAGAAAACATCTTGGGGTCTTTGAGTGTGCAGAGCCCGAACACTCACACAAGCAACAAAGAGTATCAAGGACCGATTCCAATGGAGATAGACCGAGTGCAAACAAAAGGCAAAGACAAAGGAAAAGATGGAAAAGGCAATGGAAGAGGAAAAGGCAAAGGTGGAAGAGGCCCCAAAAGATCAGGAAGAGGAAAAGGTGTCCGACAGGTAGGAGGAAAAGGCTGCGGAAATGGAAAGAGTTCAGGAACGAGCGGACAAGGAGTTGTTTGCTATAACTGTGGAAAGACAGGCCACATTGCTTCGGAGTGTTGGTCAAAACCCAGTGGTAGCGGTGACAGGTAAAAGGAAAAGGAAAACGAAGGCGAAGAGGAAGACGAATGGTGCCAAGAGATAAACTAAACGCACAATCGTCCCAAGGAGAAAATCAAGGACAAGCACAAGTTCGGTATGCAGCAAGCACAAAAGGAAATGAGCAAGTGCGAAGGTTGGAAACTTCACACGTGCCAATCATAGAAGAAGTAGAAGATGATGAAGAATATGTTGATGTGATAGGTATGTTTGAAGAGTCGGCTCGAAACTCGTCATTGAGGCCAGAAGAAGAGTTCTTCGATGTCACTCCGACATGTGACTAGAACCTTAAGATGATGAAGAAGATCCTGAAGAGGATGAGCTGCGCCGAGGGTATGAGGACCAAAGTTGTGACGAAGAAGAAGAAAGGCTGATGTTGCGATGGAGCGAAAGCCAACAAGATTGGAAAGCGAAGTCGCTTGAGATTCCAAGTCCAGGTCGTAGTGACTTAGAAGAAAGGGTTTGCCAGCAAGGTTGGAAAGCGAAATCGGTTGATATTCCAAGTCCAGGTCCCGTTAAAGATTTTGGTGAAAAGGATAAAGTGACAGTCCGCGCCAGGTATTCAGATCTGGTAGAAGTGGTACTAGACTTATTAGACAGTGGAGCAGATTGCCACGTGTCACCTCTGAGCTATCATAGCGAAGATCTTGGAACGGCAGAGTTCCAGCTTTGAGCACGGTGATCACAGATGTCCAAGGAAATCGGATCAGGACAACAGAGACAAGAGCAGACATCACGTTTGAGTTTCAGAAGGCCGATGGAAGAGTTCACAAAGTTCGAGACTCGGCAGTGTTCGGAGATGTTACCCAGCCGCTATTTGCTGTTGGTAAACTCTGGAAAATCGGATGGGGAATCGAACCCCAAGATGCATAGTCGGCATTCCTGAGAAGAGGACATGTGATGATACCGACTCGGTTTGGGAGAAACTCGACGGTTACAGATATAAGGAACTACAGAGCTGAAGTGAAGACCGAAGAAAGAAAAGTTGCAGCGGTGATGAGGAAGCTCGCCTTGGCAAAACAGATAGAAGAAGATCTTGAAAACACCAAGTACAGTGAAGGCAGTGAAGGATGGTTTTTCTTGAGGGGTGGAACGCCAGCAAGGATCGATTGGGACGAGAAGGTTACGTACAACCCAAAGAAGGACAATGTCAAAGAATTCAAGTACAGCACTACGCTGATTACGAGGTATGAAGGAGACAAGGTGATGTGGAACGAACTTGAGTTCTACCAGTGTGCAGAGGAATGGCAAGGAAGAGAAGAAATTGCGATAACAGCCGACCAGCCATGGTCAGTATGAAGAGTATGGAGATTACAAAAGTCCATTCAAGAAGAACGTTGAAGGCCAGAAGGATATAGAGATGGAAGAGATTGAAGAGAAGGAAAAGGAGAGCAAAGAACAAGAAAAAGAATGAGAAGATGTCGACGACCTGTTTGACGAACCGAAATACGAAAGTGAGCGAAAGAAATTTTAAGGGAAATTGCCGAGTATCGGTGAATCAATGGAAGAAAGGATGAGCATCGGAGGAGTTGAGCTAAGCCCCGAAAGCACTCTCAAGCCATGTACATTCCTGAAGGTAGGAATGACAGGAAGCAAGGCCCAAGTATGGCAAAGACGGAAGCAAGCAGTTACAACAAGCAAGTTGAGAGAAACAGCTGAGATTTCAAAGAAGCCAGAAGCTGAATTCGAAAGAGAGCCAAAAAGAAAAAAACTATCGCAACTTCCAAGCGAAGAAGAACGAAGGAAACATGCATTGACGCACCTACCCAAAGCAGACTGGTGTGAGAGCTGCACAGCTACAAGAGGTCGTGAAGACAACTTTGAGGTATCAGGAAAGAAGCATGAAGCATCCTTGCTGAGCATGGGTTCCAAGTTCACAGGTACAAGAGATGGGGAAACGCAAAGGATGTGAAAGACGCTCTAGACTCTAGCCATTAGTTTGGTTATGGTTGATCAAGAAACAAAGTTTGTTCTTGCTACTCCAGTACCAAACAAAGAAGTGACAGGGTTCTTGGTAGAAGAAGTCTGCCGAGTGTTGATGTTGATGAATCCAAGAGTGATACTGAGAACAGACACAGACCCAGTTTCACTACGGAAGAAGGTACAAGGAAGACGTCAAGTAACTTTGAAAGCGGACCACCAGACAACGTATGGAAAAGGTAGGTGGAGTATCGCGAATGAGCGAGATTGAGAGACTTACCAACATGGGAGTACTGAAAGAAGTGCCACCGATGTGTCAGGGTGCAACTTCCTATCAACGAAAGTTGTGTATGATTGGAGACATCGCGAAAATGAATGGCGAAGAAGAGGAAGGTTAGTAGCCCGAGAATTCAAATGGCTATCATCCTATGACATTGCAAGTTTGTTTTCGCTAGCAAGAGTTGTCTGTTCTGTCTACATCATCAGATGGATGCACACTTGGAAGCATTGATGTTCGAGATGCTTACCTGATGGCAGAACAAGAAGAACCTACAGTGGTAGAAGTTGATGGAAGGTACCACGAATTGGGATTTACGCTCCCAGGAGAGAAGTCGGATCAAGTGTTCAACAAGTTGAAAGGCTATGTGGAAGAGGCTTGGTATGACATCAGACGATGGTCTACCAGCATTGTTTCATCAAAGACCTGAGAAAGGAAAGCAAGGAATCATCTTGTTGTCACACGCTGATGACATGGAACTTCATGCGTCAAGAAACGATTTTTCTCAGACTTGTGGAATTTCTCAAAAGCAAAGGCTTGAAGATCAAAGTGGAAGGACCGCTCGATGTAAACGAAGGACCAATGCGTCTCTTGAAAACAGGATTCCGATCAACGAATGTGAAGGAGACGTTGAGATCACGATGAATTCAAAACACATCGAAGGATTGGTTGAAGTACTCAAACTTCAAGAAGAGTTTTCAAAGAAGATACCATGCCATCAGACAACGGAAGATCAGCTCAAGCAAAGAAACATGATTTAACCCCGCTGGGTGCGGAAGAACACCAGGGTGTTGGTATCCTGCTATATTTGGCGCCTGAGAGGCCAGATATCATGTGTGTGCTGAAGAAACTGAGCACCAAGTTGGCAGGCCCGACAGGAAGCGACATGGAATCGTTGAGGTACCTTGGAAAGTATCTCCAAGGAATGCCAGACTTAGCGTTGATTCATCAAAGGAGTTTTCCGGGAAAAAGTTTCTTGAAGGAAGAGAAACAAGAGCACGGAGAAAGAAACCCGTGCGAGCAACAGTCGGTATTGGAGATGATTACAGATTCGGATTGAAAAGCAGACAAAGTGTTTCATGTGGAGCGATCATGCTGAATGGAAATTTGGTTCCCTTTCAAAGCAAAAGACACAAAGTGTCGCACTGAGTTCGTGCGAAGCTGAAACGATAGCAGCCACGTCGGTATCGTCAGAAGCAGTTTTCCTGACAGGGCTGCAAGGATTCTAGGAGTAGAACCAAAGTATTCGAGCTCGAGCAATTCGAGACAGCTGATTGCGAGAACGGGACTCGGGAAAGCCCGACATCTGGACGTTGATTTGCTGTGGATTCAAAGATTCAAAGGGTTGGTGATCAATGCGATCAAAGGAAAAGACAACACAGCTGATCTGGGAACAAAGAGCTTAAGCAGAGACAAGATAAGGAAGTATATGACGACGATTGGTTACATCGGAGATTATCTTGATCAAGAAGTGGTCGAAGGACCGGCAGACGTTCGATTTACCAGCAAACCACACCGGGACCCCTCCGCGGAAAACAAGCCCCGGCGACCACCCTGGACCAGACCGCCGCCACTCCCAACCCCACCCCTAGCAGAAGCAGCAGCAACAGACGAGAGTGATGCGGAAGGACAGCACGGAAAGAAGTGGTTTGTGACCTGTGTCATGGTACGCATGCTTGTTGCCATATGCTGTTAGAAAGCCGCGAAAGCTTTGAACGTGTTATTTGCCGCAGCCGTTTTTCAGCGCAAAGAAATAAGGGAAAAAGAACAAGAAAAAGCCAGGCCAAAGATGGCCGAAGAAGACACGAAAACTATTGAAGAGGCCGAAATGGCCGAGCCGCCTGCCCGAGGAGAACAAGAAGCAAAAGAAACTAAAGCATAAGGGCTGAGTGAAAAAGGATGATTAGGGCGTGCCGCCGTATTGAGTCGGTGACGTTGCTTGAGCGTTACCTGAAACTGTCTGGTAGGGCAAATGAGAGAGCTGACCTCTGAGAGCTAAGGAAAAGGGCAGAAGAGCTGGATGCGAGTGCCGAGGTACATCTTTCTGCGAGCGAAGGAGAAGAAAACGAAAAGAAAGACGAGGAGCAAAAGCTTAGGAAAGTGCTGAAGAAAGCAGAAGAAGAGATGGAAGGAAAGAGCGAGAGCTCGGAGAGCAGCTCAAGCTCGGAAAGCAGCGAGGAAAATGCCGAGGAGGCCAAGCAGAAGGCCAATGCATCTGGAGAAAAGAAACAGGAAGAAAAGAAGGAGGAGGATGATGATCCTCAGGCCGAGCAAATGGCCGAGAAAAAGAATTAATTGGAGGAAAGGCGGAAGCACGCAGGCATGAAGTGCTGAAAAGCACTGAGGAGGTTATTGAAGTTGAGGATGAGGAAAAAGAGAAAGAGTAGAAGAAAGAGACAGAAGAAAAATCAAAGTGAAAATCACGGACATACCGAATGGGTATGCGTTGAAGCTGCTGAAGTGGAAAGATGAAGTGAGCGAAAGGCTGACCGGCTTGAAAGAGTCGAATGAAATTCAAGATGTGAAAGATGTCCAGACAAAAATTGTCCAAAAGACTGGACATGCGAAGTTAGCGATGAAGGTGTTAGCTCGAGACGGACGCGCTGGACATCCTCGACGAGGAAAAGGAGAAAGTTGCTGAAGCGAAAGAGACGCTGGAGCTAGCACAAGACAGCAGCCAGGAATGTACGATATGATGGAGAAAGCTTATTGCTTATGGTAGCATAGAACACGTTGCCGGAAAGCTGCCTGCCTAACGCCGCCTCTTCGAAGACAAAGAAGGAAGAAGTTCGGGGAGCAACCCCAAGCAGCTGACGCTGAAGAATTTGTTGAAGCGCGCTAAAGTCCCGCTAAAGAGTGCGGCGGAAGCACGACGGAGAATCCCCTGAGGTCAATGCGCATGACCTATGAAGTTGCACGGTCGCAAAGGCGATTGCAAGAGTAGCTGCCTGCTACAGTGTTTGAAGAAGCGTACCCGCCTGCTACAAAAGAAGAAGAATGAGGATGCTGTAGGCTGAAATGCCCGTTTTCTCTCAAATCTTCGTTTCACAAAGCATTACTCAAAAGGCGCAACACAGCAGCAACAGAGCGTTGCACAAAAGTTTTTCAATTAGCTTTAGACAGGCGACAGGGAGCGCGTGAGAAGTGTAGTGTCGTATGTTTTAAGTGACAAGGCTTGTGAGAACTGTGTGCCGACAACGTTTAAAGGTTGCCGATGAAGAGCCGGTGCAAAGACCAAGCACCCAAGCTCAAGAGGAAAAGAGTGTTTGAAGAAGTTGGACACGGACATACGACAAATCTAAAGCTTGTTAGCTTCGATGAGCGATGACCAGAGGACCAGCTACATCAACTACATCAACGCCACCAGGCGTGAAGATGAAAAGAAGGAAAGTGGAAGCAGCGAGTTGAAGTCAATGGAGATCAAAGGAAGGTTCAGAGGAGCATGCGAGAAGGGAGGTAAAGCTTACAGAAGTTTCTCCCTAGTTGCACGCAGTGACAAGTCTGTGAAGATCGAGTTAAGTGCCAAAGGCGACTTAAATCGATGAGGGCATAACAAACATTTCATTTTACACTGCATGCCACTTTATGCCCAATACGAATGTTTCACTGTGCATGCTCTGCGATCACCGCTGGTTCAAAAGAGGCTCAAGCGAAGGAAAAGTGAAGTGCGATTTAGTATTTCACAGGAACCTTTGTTGAAGGCTTAAAACTTTCACCTGGCCAAGGACAACCTGGCGCCGCACATGGCCAACCGACTGGCGGGACGACTGAACTTCGTGTCACAGTCTACCTTCGGAGCGTCGGAAAGGCAGCACTGCAGCCCATCTATGCCAGGGCTCATGATTTGGCCGCGACGTCCGACACTAGATTGGGGACTACGAGCGGCGCTGATGTCACTCCAGTCGCTGTTGTCAACCGTCCAGCCCAATATGTGGTGCCCTACATCGACGACGGGGCGCCAGCGGCACTCATCTACGGCCATGCCTTTTACCAGCCTGGAGAGGCACGCCACAAGGCCGGCCACAGCCCGGCGGAGGTGCCGGTCAAGCCCGGCACGCGTGGACGAAATGGCTGGTCTTCCGGATCGGTGCCCAGGTTTTCTACGACTGCGGCGCGGCCGCCCGCGGATTTCCTCGACCTCTTTGCGGCGAGGACGGCCTTCATCTACCTGCTGGAGATCCTGGCGCAGGTACTGGAGCTGGTGATGTTAGACCACAGAGTGTTCATCGACAACAGTGGGTCCTCACCAAGGGCCATGGGAGAGACCCCTCGACTCGGTCAATGGCGTGCATTCTGGTCCATAGCAGTGCTGGCGGACTGGCTCCGACTTCCGTCGTGCCATCCAAAGCCAACGTCTCCGACGCAGTGTCACGAGGGGACCTCGACATGGCACGGCGAATGGGACGGACCAAGAGACATGCCCGTGACGGGCATCGTGCCGACGCTGGCGAGGCCGGCCAAGGACCTCCAGTTCGCCGTCAAAGCATGGCGGTCTGCCGGCGCAGAGTGGGGTGGAGGAGCGCCAGGCGGGATGCAGAAAGCATCCCCAGCGCCGTAGAGCCCTGCTCTGGGGCACAAGGCCCGCCGAAGGCAACGGACCCGCTTCCAAAAGGGGAGTTCGTCCGTCGTACCACTTTGGTTAACACTAAGTTAACACGTCGGGAGTCGAGCTTGTCGTGTAACACGTCTATAGTGTGTGAAAGGGCGTGGCACGGCACATTCGACGCACACGCCACAGCTGTTGCTGGCTTTGCGTCGCCCGACATTTCCTGTGCCCGCCCACTCCGCCCCATTTTGATATTTCTCCAAAGACTCATGGGTCGTCGCTCGCTGGCGGGCGCCGGGCCGGGATGCAGAAAGCGTCCTCGGCGCCGTACAGCCTTGCTTGGCGAAGGCGACGGACCCGCTTCCAAACCACTCAAAAAGAGCGTTCGTCCGTCGCACAATTTCCAGTTGTCGCCTTGGCATTTTGGTGCATCGGACCCTAGTCCAATATCGAATTGCTGGTCTCGTTCAAACCAAGATAGACAAAAGCCATGATGAAACAACGGCTCGACACATCTGGAGGCCTGCAGCGGTCGCTTCTGTCGTGGGAAGAGTGGCCCGCTCGAGAGGAGCTGCAACAACATTCCGAGGCTTCTGTCCATTAGGCGACGCAGCAGCTTGCGTTGCAGCATGTTGCAGCAATCGTGCGATTGACGCGGTTTGCGAATGCGGAGATATACATCGGCAGTTGATCTTAGTGTTAATCGTTTCATGGGTTATGTTCCACGTTGACGTTTTGTTGACTTTTCACGGGATGCAGGGCAGTTTGAAAGGGTCCTGGGGCAATGCAGCAAACTTCAAGCCATGAATGCTTTGGGCGTGAAGACGTCGACTCAGAGTCCGATGCTGTTCAACTGACGCCCCGAGCTGTCGCCTGTAAATGTCTAAAAATGGGGAGGAGCTGATGGCTGCCTTGGAAGCACAGTTGCAGAAACAACCAGGCAATGGGGCACTATTTGTGCAGTGATCTGGGCGGCACTCTGGGTTCGAGCAGAATTCAATCAGAATTCTCAGGTTGAGATTGATCCGTGGGGTGGAGCGACCTGCTGTCAATGGGCTTGGATTCAATGTACCGTGCTGGAACCCAGTTCAAGAGCAGAAGCAGGTGATGCGACGCCCTATGCTTTGTCGGAGACATGCTTGCTGTTGTTCGGTTCTGGAACACGACACGAAAACAGTGGTAAGGATGGCCCATGTGACGCAGTTCAGGCTGTCTGAGGATACGAAGGGCTCCTGAGGGCGGCCTAAACTCGAAACTGCCAGGGCTGGTGTCTCTGTCCAAACAAAGCGCATGCAGCAACAAGAATCTTTTCCACAGAATTACTCTCGGCTTCTGGGCCCCTACAGCGCCCCCCCTCCCGCCCCGCAATCCCTCCGAGCGCCCCCCGCGATCCTGGTGACAGTCGTTGGAAATCGTCATCGCGAACCGGAAGAAACCCACACAAATAACAGGGAGGGCGGACGACCCAAGCGACGGGTGTCACTGCAATGATCTGCCACTCGACAGCCAGTGCCGAGCAAAGAACCGCATCAGGGCAGGGACAAAGGCACCGTTTGCCAGTAGAACAGGGCAACATAAAATCTTTTCGTATCGTAACCAGCAGCATAACGATGACGTTACTTCTAACAAATGGGTGCAACCACACCCCTGCAGAACACACTGCCCCCCTACCCTGGTCTGCAGCGCACAGCAGAAGGGAGGAGAGGAGACCCAAAAATTCGAGACATCAACAACCCAAGCAAGACCGCAAGCACCACGCCACCGGAGGGGCGGGGCCAACATGCGCCAACCGACAAGACAAGGCCAAACGAAGACCACCCAGGCCACACCCCACCGGCGGGGGGGTGGGCGTTGGGGACAGGGGCGACAAGGCCAAACCAGAAGACCCACGTGGGTTTTTCGAGGGGGGGCGGGGGAGGGGGCGGGCGGCCTGCAGGCCTGCATGGTTCTGAGGCTGCCCCAAACCCGTCAAAGTCACTGCTTGCCTGCGAAGGCCCCGGTGGCCTTGTGTTCGTCCATGGCGGTCCAGGCTGTGGCAAGACGGACGCTCCCCTCATCAATAATGAGTTCCTTTGATGCTTTCAGCTCCTTCTGCAGGGGGTTTGTGAATTGCCGCACACCTCCGGCAAATGCTGGCAAGGAGTGATCAACTTTTTTGGGGGTCAGATGCAGTTCCCATCGGTTGAGCAGCCTGGGTCGGTAGAACCTCATTGAGTGCTTGAGATGCTTGCCGTGCTTCACAATCTTGACATGTGTGACGTGCAGGTTTAGCACGCAGTCTTGTCGGGAGTTCTGCACACTCAAGCCTCGGCGCCACTACGAATACATACATATATGGTTTAAATATGTGTGTGTTTATGTGTGTGTATATATATACACACACAGATACGGCGGTACTAGACGCGGACAGACACTTGCATTTTTGTTCGTGCCAACTGTGTGCAGGAACTCGTGTGTTGCCAGTTGGTAGACCTGTCCACATGCAGTTCTCCTGACCAATCCCGATTGCCTTGCAGAGCCTTGGACGAGGAGCTTGCTGCTCATGTTCGGGCGTGGGCGTTGGAGCAAGAACTCTGCGTCCTCGCAGGCCAGACGGCCAGGCCAGGAAGGGAAGCGGAGTCTGCAGTTCTGGCAACGCCAGGTCAGAATCAGAGTCCTACAGGGACCTTGGCGGTGCCGCGGCTCTGCTGGCAAGAGGCAGTCGCTGAGATCCCTTGCACCCACAGCCATCGGCTTTTTAGGCTCGCGCTTCTAAGATTTCTTTGCAACCTTTTATCATACCATGGCAAACCCTGTCCGCAATGTCAGAATGTACTTACCGTGACTGGTCCTGTACGCTGCCACTTCTCGTTTGGTGATCGATGTTGGAGTTAGCCAGCGCCGCTTCCCAGAAGTCGCAACCGGAAGCGAAGAGCTGTTTCATATAGGTTTGTCAAGACATCTCGAAACTTCCGAAAAGGGGCTTGCAGAGCTCACACAGATTCCCTTGAACGCTAGCGGCCAGGTGTTTGCAGAGATGCTGAAGGCTGCGCGCAGCGATCCGCAGCCTGACGGCAGGAAGCCCGCATGCTGGTCAGGGGTCAAAAAAGGCCGAAATAGGCCAACGGAGGCTGGCTCCAAAGCTCAGCAGTCTCGTGAGGTGTCGTTCTAAGTTCAATGCTCCGAGACCTCCGCTGTTGTTGCATTGTGCCCAGGGCGTGGAATGACACAGGAGAGCATGTGCCTTGTTTCTGCAATTGGTGTGCGACACAAACGAAGCTTGATATGACAAGTCAAAATGTGTTGGAACTAAGTGGCGTAGCCGCAGAAGCAGCAGCAGCAGCAGCAGCAGCAAAGAGCATCATTGATATGCCGCAGCCGTTGAAGACTCCTGCTCGGTTGAGGTCACTGATCGAGAAATCATCCGGCGTATGCTCTTGGCAGCTGGGGCGACACGAGAGCTTCTTGCGCTTTTGCTGCAGTCAGCGCCAGAAGCCCTGTGGAAAGAGTATTGATAGAGTGGACCTCTGTGTGGATGCCTTCTTCACGTTACTGCCTGGCAAAGTTCGGTTCTTTGCCGAAGGCATGGCTCCCAGTCCTGCGCTTGGTCTTCCCTGCACTCTACTTTGGGCCCAACGCCGCTTGCCATGAAGCTGTGCTGCAGCATCTGTCGGCCTGGAGGCAGCTGCCCTCTTAAGGTTGTGAATGCCATGGTCGAGCGAGATGCACTACACGCCAAGACGCGGCCGCTGAAGGTTCCGCACAATATCATGCAGCCAGACTCAGCACAGATATGCAGCTAATCATGAGCAAACGGATCGTATCAGATCATTCGACGACTTTGTCTGAATGTGTTGCCGTTTGTTGACAGCAAACTGCAGGTGGTCACTCTGTGCAAGATGCTCGTGGACGCATTCACAACCCACTCCACGAAGAGCCAGGGTACCGTCATCTTGCACCTTGTTAAAATTTGTCTCTGGGCGAAATGGGCAGCGTGGCTGTGCTCTTTGTTGCCCAAGCAATATTGGCAGGCTTCATCTCCGGCGCTCGACGTCGTTCTTCGGCGAGACGACGGTCGCTTTGTTCAAAAATCCTTGCCCGCATGTCAAGACCCGAGTTTGCCAAGTGCACTTGCCAAAGGACTACGACGGCAATCTGGCATCAGCCTGAGCTGTCGCAGCAGGAACCCGGTCAGTGGTCTTCTTCGACGTTGGGCAATGCCTAGTTCTAAGCGAATTCCTGTCAGGGGCGACATTCGCCCGCTATCGGCAGACTTGTCAGTCACGAGGTCATGACGACGGATGGATGAAAGGCTGGATGGACGGACGGACGGATGGATGGATGGATGGATGGATGGTGTGACAGCCACGGGTCAGGCGGCATCCCTCCCGCCTTCGCAGCAATTCCGAAGTCGTCATCGGGGCTCCAGTTGGAGAAGGGCACCCAGCGAAATCGCTCAATCACACCTCTATCCTTCACCATGCATCCCCTTTCCGAAGAGATCTTATCTGCTCAGGGCAGCAGTACTTGTATGTTTAGGTTGCACTATCTCACATGGGTCAAAGCCACTGGCACTCAAAGTTGTGATTCCCAACACCCGTAGTGACTGCAGTTCTTCAGCATCGGGCGGAAAGAATGGCCCAAGCTCAAGCCGGAAAACTTTCCTGCCGGGCCATGGAACGGCCGTAGGTCATGACGACTCTTTGGTTTTTTGTAGCACCAGGCAGGTACGGCTGCACAGCATGCCGAGGTGGAGGGGCTCATGAACTTGTGCATGGAACGCCGCGAGACTGGGAAGAAGCCGGTAACTTGGCGTGGCCCCTGTAAAACTTGACATGCTCGAAGTTGCTCGAGGGTCCAGTTCACGTTAGAGAACATTGCAGAGTTGTCAAGTGCTCCTCCGTATCAATTCTTCATGGCACGCTGGCTTTGGCCGACGGCCGAAACCAGGTGATGCTGTGCGTTGTGGCGCGGGAAACCATCTTGCAATCACAGGCACGTGGCGTGCAAGCATGGGCAGAGATCAGGTCTGGTAAATTGTATCCTGACAGGCGCGGCATGGAGCACCACGGTTAGTTTAGGTTTCTATGCGTTCTGCAGCTTGGGCCCATAGATCGCTTCTGCTTCCGTGCCGAGACGTGCGTGTACACTCACTCCGACACCTGAGGGGGCTTGCTTGAAAGCCCCCGTAGCCTCATGCTACGTGTTCTGCCAAGACTGGCGCGAAGCTCCCGCGCCCAGGCAACTAATCGGCATTTGCTCCGATGCAGCTGGCGTGCATTTTCCGAAGGGAGTGACAGAGAATTGGTGAGCTTGCAGACGTCAGGCCACATCGCCAAATTGACTTTGCAGCGTCCTGAAAAGCTTAACTCTTTGTCGCTTCCTATGATCAAGGATCTGAAGCAGAATTATGCAACTTTGCCAACAGCTGGCGCTCGTTACTTGCTGCTTGCTGGTGAGGGCCGAGCTCTTTGTGCTGGCGGCGATGTTGCCGAAGTGCGGCAGGGAGTCATCGAAGGAACGAGCTATCCTGCGGATTTCTTCTCAGAGGAGTATGAACTGGATTATCAAATAGCAACTCTTCTTGAACGAGACAATGTGGTTCAGGTATCTCTTTGGGACGGTATCGTAATGGGTGGTGGCGTAGGCCTCTCACTGCACAGTCCGATCCGAGTTGCGACAGAGAACACCCTTTTTGCAATGCCGGAAACCGGCATCGGCCTTTTCCCAGACGTTGGTGCAACATGGGCATTGAGCCGACTGCGTGCTGGCGCCCATGTGGGCATGTACTTGGGTCTCACAGGCGAGCGCCTCGGCGCTGCAGACTGCCTCTATGCCGGCCTTGCTACACACTTCTGCCCCGCGGAGAAGCTGCCGCTCCTGGAGGAGCAGCTGACTCGCTTGACTCCAGAAGCGAGCATAGAAGAGGTCTCGAGAGCCATTCATGAAGTGGCCGCAGGGGCCGTCCCAGAAGCAGACAAGGCAAAATTGGAGGCTAACGCTGCCGCCATAGAGGACTGCTTCGGTGATTTGTCTAGAAAAGCTGAGGACATAGTCGCGCGGTTGGAGTCCCACTCCTCGACGAACTGGTCCCAAAAGACTTTGAAGACGCTGCTTTCCAAGAGCCCGTTGTCAGTGAAGGTCTCTTTGGAGGCACTTCGCAGGCATCAAGCCGTATCTTTAAAGGAAGCCTTCATCGCCGAGTATCGCCTGTCTCAGTGGTTCATGCGGCCTGCACCTGACAGCGACTTTTGTGAGGGCATTCGTGCTGTGCTAGTGGACAAAGACCAGAGCCCGAAATGGCAGCCTGCAACTTTACCGGAGGTGACGAACCAGAAAGTGGAGCAATTCTTTGAACCCTTGCCAGCCGACCATGCTTGTGGCGAGTTGAGGATATGATTTGCTCCGCTGCCTGTCAGGCATGCCGGCGTCTCTAGACCTTAGATGCTACAGCAGCTACGGTCGAGACATGTCGAGACAGACTTTGCGATACATTGCGTGCCACCACAGAATAAGGACAGCATCCCTGCCCTTCCATCAGGATGCCACATGTCGCTTGTTCTTGGCAATAAATTCACACGTTTTGCTCTTGATCAGGCCTTCTTCCTGAACTCGCGGAATCTGAACGGCGAAGTGGAGGTAAGCAATCTCTCCCGGGTCCAGACCTTAGTGACTTAGTGTTGATTGTGGTCTCTTCCTGGCTATTATTGATAGCACCACGCTGAAGGACATGACGGAGAAATATGTTATGCACATCACCGAAGCAGCTGCTGGCGTGGCACCCGACTTGCTTCAGTACGTGTTTGCATCTCGTCTCTGTCTAAGGTTCCAGGGTTTGGAACAGCGGAACAGCTTCGTTAGGCTCGAGCACATCAGAATCTACCTGTAGAGAGCTGACAGGCAAGGCGGTTCCGATGTTTCGCATGCGTGCTTGGAAAATAAGAGCTTGATGGAATTAGACCTGGATCAGTGTCGTGTAGATATCAGAGTTGATTTCGCTTGAGCCTGATGCCTGCCATGCTATTCCGGTGCGTCAGCATCCTTGAGCACATATCAACATTGCCAAGCGTTTTTGTACGAGCTTCTCTGCGGAATGAACAAGCCCAACAAGCTAGCGTAGTAGCCAAAACTCAGGAAAGCTCCGGCGGAAATCCCTTCGGCGTGGAGGTGGTCTTTCTTGAAAACTCTTGGATATGGGAAGGGAGTGAGGAGAACAGCCTGCATGAGCCGCGACTCGAAATCCAAAAGGCTCACGACACATCTTCAGCATGGAGTGCTGGCTGCACGAATCTTGGGGGAAAGCTTGCCAGCAAATGCCCGAATCTGTAGGCTCCTTTCAGCGTCAGATCTGCTTTTGAGACATAGAGCGCTTCAAGACCTTCGTCGAGGTTGTGAGGCTCCTTCGAGAAAGACCTCCCACTTTTTCCATTCCTTTAAATGTCCTGCTGGAGATTTAGGGAGGCACTTCGAGCGGTCCCAAATTTTGGTAGCACCGTGCTCAGCGGCAGGTGGTCCTCCAAGAACTTCGACAGGGCGGAGCTGTGCAGGTTTCCGAAGAGGCCCGCAGGCACAGATAGGCACAGGTTTCTGGCCGCAGCCCGCAGCTTCGGAGCAGATGGCCCTGTTTAACAGTTGCTTCCGGGCTCTGGCTGGCGACTTGCCCTGATCGAAAAACCACCAGTCGCCCACCGCAGGGATTCCTAGAGCTCTCCGATGGCGATGAGGCGAACCTGTCACAGCTGGAGACTCCGCAGCAGACATTGGTCGGCCCGCAAGCCCCAAGTTGAATCTGCCGGTATCCACCAGCCGATGGCAGCAGCTGCAACAGATGTCCCGTTTCATCGCTTCGAACCGCTTGTTAGTATGCGTACAGTCAGAGTCCCTTTCCCAGCACAGAGCAAATCAATAGGCCAGGCCTTCAGACTTTCCGGAAACAACAAGTAACTGGGAAGCTTCGAACAAAGACTTCCCATCCATGCTCAACAAGCCCAGGAATATCCAGAGTCTTTGATCGGAATTGCTTTGGCCTCCTGGGAGAAGCTGCTTCCCCACCAACAGGACTTGGTACTCCGGCTGTCATTGCGAGGCACTTGAGCATGAAGAAACAGTGGGTCCGAAGTTATCATGCTTTCAGGGCGCTTGAGTTGTTTCAACCGGGATTATGGTCCAACATGTAACGCAAACCTCCTGATCCCTTCCTCTACCACCCTCCACCGCTGCCGCCGCACACTAACCCCACCGCAGCCACCATGCAACCACCACGACCGACAATCAACAGCGAAACTTCCATCAGAACGACCTCCACCGCCGGCATCAGCAGCAAGCACTTTAATGATGCATATTGGCGGTCAAAGCATGAAGTGATGGCACTTGGGTCCCCCATCTCAGGTGAAAAATGTGGCCATGTGTAGCCAAGAGGCAGACTGCGAAGTGTTGAACATCGTGGACCTGGCAGAGAGCTTGAGCTGATCTTGAGCAATCTTGAGCAAACGAACATGCTTGCACAGAATTTTCGACTTTTCGGTTTCATGTGCTATTCTGATGCGTCGAGCGGTCGGCGTCCAATCAGTTCTTGCAAGTGTATGGCTGAAGTGCAGTCCTACATGATCCGAAGTGCACAGAAGGGCTCGCACCCGAAACACTGCGTGACCTTTGTTGAATGAGGCCTTGATACCACGAAGGTCCTCGGTCTAGCCATCCCTGGCCGACACCTTTGGCAGACCTGACACTGAAGCGCCCAGGACCTTGGAACTCGAAGAAGAGCAGCTACGAGAAGCATGCAGCAATCTGGTAGTGCAAGGCCACTGCACTGCATGTACCACGTTAAAACCTCGCACCTCAAGACATCCATGCTTGTGGCACCATTGACTTGGCCTGCGTTCGGAGGCCGCTTACTTGCACTTGTCCTGTTTGCCAGAATTGCCAGGGTTTTTCCGGCCGCAGATGCCGCTGCCAAAGCGGATGACTCGCCGTGCCGTCCCTGATGGACCAAGTCCAACAGGCTCGAGAAGTTCACGGCATGATCCAGCTTGCTGAATTCCGCCAGTCTTCGCTGTCCCTGAGTTGGTTGCATCGCTCGAATCGGACTGGATGTTCAACAGCACCTTGCAGAGGAGCTGAACACATGCCATGAGGATTCAGACACCGCCCAAACAGTAGCACTTCGGTTAGAGGATAATCCCGACATTATTACTGTTGTTCATGTACCCTTTTGAGTCCTGTTTTCGGCTTTGTACTCCAACTGCGAGGCGGGGCCCGTGCCTCCACCACTCCAAGCAGTGGCAGCTTGGCAGTTGCCGGTGCAAGTTGCGAGCATTTTTGTTCTTGTGAAGTCTTCTGAGTGTCTGCCCTTATACAGCCCACGTGCTTCCTGAGAAACACGGGGTGCTTAAAACGTCCTGAACTGGAAGTTTTCCGACTGAGCACAAGCATGCTCTTGCAGGCATTAGCGGCAACAGGGTTAACCACTCTGTTTACCACTGCATCCAGACAATACAAAGACGCCGGACAAGCCTGAGAAGGAACATGTTGGTGCCTGCCGAGGAAGCTGCCTTACATCAAAGGCATGATATTACTGCAGCGGCGAGGTCCTACAATCATCAGTAGCATCCGTAGCTTGGTGTGGAACGGGAGACGGAAACCCCTAATCGGCCCTAGCCGTACCTACCCCGCCCCCCGTTTTTGCCCGATCCATTTGCAAGCTTCTTTGTTGCCCGACATTGTCCCTGAGAACTCACTCCAGGATCCACTTGCATTTGTCATGCAGGAAGGCATCCTTGGGGGCCATCTGGACTGTACCAATCGCACACTCCAACCTATACTATATTCCTTCAGAGCTGCCATGGCTTGCACTTTTTTTTTGCAGGCCCGTGGAGCGAGTTCTTCCAGCATTCCCCATTCGTGCCATCACTTTTGTGATGCACCCCACCGGTTTTCAGCTGCATTGTCACCTGCAGCTACTTGCAACTTTTGTGCATGCCTTGCTCTTTCGCTTCGTTCTAGCATCCAAGCTGCTCTTGAGGAGGCTTGCAATAGGTGTGAACACTTTTTGCACGTGGCTGACCCCAGGCAAACCTGCATCACGAATTGCTCCATCAAAGCCCGACTACCATCTGGAGCTCAAACAGTGCCAGCACCCATTGCGTCCTTGATTGGCTGATCCACTTCAGCCCTGGGCTCGGCTCCCATACCTCTTCCGGGCTTGGACACAGTGCCTGGCAATGCTTTGGCGATTCACTTCTTTGTAAAATCTTCCTGTCAAGACCAGAGTTCGGCCCAGATGAACTTTCTGCACTGCAGTCGTGGCAACATCCATTCGACCAGAATCCGGTTCCACGATCTCGTACACTTCGACCGTATTCGGTTTCAGCATATGCCAAGGCAACCTTATTCTTGGTATAGAAGTCTTCCACCTTGTGTTTTGCTGCAGAAAGAAACTGTCCCAGCAAACGTAACACTTGTATGGCTGAGTCGTTGCCTCGCGTGGCTCCTACAGTAAAGGGTGTGCGACGGAGCATGGCACAGTCGATGCCTGTGCCATTTGATGCAAATCTGAAAAGAGGAGTGAAAGCGACGCGTGGCGCTGTCAGGCGTGGTGTTTGGGAGCAGGAGCGGTTCTGACATCTAAAACCAGATCCTTTCGCTTGTAGATGCATAAGTATGTATTTATGTATGTATGTATGTATGTATGCATGCATGTATGTATGTATATATGTATGTATGTATTTCGGATCGAACGGAGGAGTAGCCCTGCGTATTGCCGGTGACCCTAGACTGCACGCCTAGCCATTGCTCCCCGCCCGCTTGCGTGGCATCGGCGCTTGTGCGCCAAACCATCTCGGGCGAGAGACCAGATTTGGAAGGCCTGCGCATTGGGCCGACAACCACCTCTGTCTGCTCTTGGCAGACTAGTTGGTCACAAGGCCAGCATACAGGGAGGAGGCAGCCAGGCTTCCCAATGGAGGTGGAACGAAGAAATGGGGGCAGCATGACAATTGATATGGTGGAGCCAGATACACAGTTTGGCAGGGTGCCTGGCCTCATCTTAAGGCGGGGCCCAAAACCAAGCAGCAGCCGCCACAAGGGTACGATCAAGCTTCAGTCGAGGCTGCGGCCGGGGCAAACAAGCATTGATGAAGGCCATGCAAAAGGCCTTTACAGCAGCGAAGAAAGCCGATGCTCGTGTCAGGAAATTGAAAGAAGAACTGGTCCATGGCAAGGCGCAATGGACACAGTACTCAAAAAAACTCAGAGCCAGGTACGCAGCCCAGGAGAAGCAACGCGAACAGGACGTCAAGAAGCTCGAGGAAAACATCCGAGCGGCTACAGAGAATGGGCAAGAAGCGGCGAAGCAAGTGCAGGAGTTGGCCATGAGTGGCACCGCCACCGTACTATGCCTGCTCACCAGTTCGAACAGAGGCCCTGTGTCTGGCGACAAATGAGTCCAATGCAGGGATGCCGGCTGCTACTTATGGACCAGCTGCCGGCAAGCTAGCGGACCGCCGTTTTTCTCCTGTGCATCCAGGACACAAAGATCCCAGCCAGAGCAGCATGGATGCGGCCCAGATACTCTTTGTCGGTGCTGGCGGAGATCTGGAAGCCAAGCGGGATGCCAGAAGGGCAAAACACCCACAAGGCAAAGCTTTGAACCTCGTCTGCTTGACAACGGAGGGAGCGCTGAACACCACCAGGAAAGACGGTGCCCTGAGGACGGGAGGCGATGGCTATCATGGACCAGGACCTGGTTTGGGACAACAGGAGCTGTCACCGGATGGAGACGCAGAGATCAAGGTTCTGGATAGATTTCAGATGAATGCGGTAGGCAGATCGCTGGAGAATGATTTCGTGGCCCCGAGCTTCAGGACAGACTAGAGGTGCCGCAGAACCGGAGCTTGGACAGGATCTCAATTGTCCTGCTGCAAAGTTCTGTTCTTGCAGAATCTTGCAAACACCTGTGGTCAATGTCTTGAATGCGTTGCAATTGAAATCATAAATCACAGGGATCTGCAGTCTCACAACCATGTTTGTCGATTCCTCTGTGTCTCTGGACCTTTATGATGGTTTCAATTTTGGCATTTCGTTCTCAGTATTTCGTCCTGCTACCGGCGCTGGAGTTGTGCAGTGTGACCCTGGCAGAGTATCGACCCGCTCAGTTCACCTCCAATCCAGTGGACTTCATGGCATTTCAGTTGTTGCACTTTGCCAAGATCTTACAAACGTATCTTGGGGTTTAGGTCCCTTACAGACCAAAGCAACATACTGTTTGTTCCGCTGGCAAGACACTCAGCATTGCAAAGCTTTTCGGCGCCAAAGCGAGGAGCAGTTGCGCCCTTTTTGGCTGCACTCTTTGCAACGAAATCAGCCCCAGTGGCTGGAACCAGCTCTCCGCCATAGCTGCAACCCTGCGGAAACGCAGTGTTCCACAGCGCCACCAGCCACGCCCTTACCAGACACACCCGCCACGCCAGCCACACAAGCCACCAGCCACGCCCCCGCCAGCTACACCAGCCACACAGGCCCCCACCAGCCACACCTAAGCTTGAGCTTTGAGCTTGGTCTGCATGCGTTCTTAGTTCGACTTGATCAGAGGCACAATTCATCTATGGGCCAAGTGCTGTCCGGCCGTGCTTATTGTCCTTGACCAAGCCTGTCCGGAATTCAGGCCCTCAAGCAAGCTGCACCTCACAGATGCATATCCAATGGATTTCATTGCCTTGGGAACTTTATTGGTAAAAAGAGTCCTTCTTATTTCACTTATTAATTATTGCATGCTCCATCGGAAATGGATATGTATGTATGTATCTATGTATTTATGTATGTATGTATGTATGTATGTATGTATCTATGTATCTATGTATCTGTGTATCTATGTATCTATGTATCTATCTATGTATCTATATATGTATCTATGTATGTATCTATGTATGTATGTATGTATGTATGTATGTATGTAAATATGTATGTATAGATATACACATACATATCGGTATAAGAATGTATAGCTACATATGCATGTGTACAGGCATACAAATGCAAATACATGTACATGTGCGCATAGACATGGAGATTGCAGTGTCATACCATTGCCCATGAACAGAACCGTGACAGTGTTGCAGAGTGTAAGGTCGTGGGCAAACAAAAGGGGAGGTAAGCGTAATCTTGGCTGAGCAAATCCTGAGCCTCGTAAATACCTGGAGCAGATAGCGGCCAAGGTCGCTCGCCGGTTTCTACAAGAGCTGGAGTCAAAGCACCTTCCGACATGGAAGCCCTACTGCAGCGTACAGGGCAAATGGTTTCTTCAGGGATAGGAATTGTGCTGGGCTTCGCAGCACCCGGCCTCCACCTACCGTATTGTCCCAATGCAGGTGCATGGTTGCAGCATAGTGCAGCGAAGATGGAACCACAAATCACGTTTGCTGCAGCTCTTAGCTGCTCAGCTGATGTGCGAAGCACTCCTCAGCAAAAACAATCCCAGGAGAACTGCCACAGCCCAGGAGCTCGCAGCGATCTCCTTCAGTTCGCAACTCCTGCGGCATGTGGCCAGGGCCTTGCCGACAGAAGGTGGTTGTTTTTGGTTGCCTCCGGGAAGCCACTCTGGCTTGATGTCACCGGATGTCAAGGGAGCAGCTATTTTGTTGATGCGCTCGTCGCTAAGTGGCGCAAGCCCGAGTTGATGCTGAGGTTGAATTGTCAGCTGCGCTCAGTTCTGAGGTGGAAGAAATCTTCTCGCATCCATTCTTCCGTAGAGTTTA